GTTTTTATCTGTAATTCATCTCAATTTCTTCTTTTCAAGTATATGTTTTTCATATTTTTGTAGTGATAATTTTTTTTTTTTTTTGAAGCATTTGTAGTATAATTTTAAATAATTTAATTATAATATTACACTAGAAATTTTTTTTTTCAAAGAAAAATAAAAATAAAACAAATATGAAAATAGAAAGAATATTGAGATATATTTAGGAAATATTAGGATATATTTGTTTAGCATATTTTGTAATAGTATATCTTTTGGTATATTTTATGGGTAGTTCCTAATCCTATCACAATAGGGTTGGTCTTTGTGTTATATAAGCTTTGGCAAAGTCATTAATGAGATCAAGCAATTACGTTCATAATATTTAGCAAAGAAGCAAAAGGAGTACATCCAAACTTCATCCCTATAATATACTTGGTATGTTAAGAAACGGTACAAGTGCGGGACTTAGAGGTGTCAACAACTTACTCAACAGTTCTGACCCAATTAAACTTGAAAAAACTTGATTCAAATTTTAACTTATATGGACATAATAATTTAACATGACTCAATTTTAAATAAGACTCATCCCACTCAGTCTTACTAAGCCATACCTGAGTATCCGTAATTGGAGTAGACGTGAATCGTACACCATAAAATGTGCTCACATACATACATACATATAAGCTAAGTTTGGTCATTGCCACCTTCAACCTTGAGGTTGGGGGATCAATCCCCGTTAAAGACGCTTTGAGAGTTCGGATCCCTTACCCTTCTCCCTCACTCTAAAGCGTCTAATTCGCAAATATCGGACAAAAAATAATGCGAGGATTGAGGTACAATCAAGGTTTTTTACCTTACCTATTTATAAAAAAAATAAAAAAATAAAAACAACATATTTGTAGACAGTTGGTGGTCCAACCATCGATGGTTGAACTGAGCTTTCGATATCATCATATACGGAGCAAGAAATAAAGAAAGGCCTACATAAGATTTAATGGAAAGCCCAATTACACAAAACGCCCAACGAGGACCACATTGGTTGACAGTTTGAAACTATGCACATGGAGAAATTGGCAGACAATTAAAATGCAGCCAACCATATTATCAACATTTAGCATAAGTAAATGCATATTGGCATACTGCATAATGTATACTTCTTCCAAAAAAAAAAAAAACAAAAAAAAAAACTCCTACTTAAGGACATATTTAGCAACCATATTATACTCCGTATTATCAACATTGAGCCTTATACTCCGTATATATTTACCTTTTGGTTAGTCTAAAATTATACTACTTACAAGTAACTTGTAGACTTGTAGTATATGAACTTATGTGCACAAATAAAAAAAACTATATATATATATCTAACACAACCTCACCTTATCTAAATTTATTTGAAAAGTAAATTAAGCCACTAAAAAAATGTAAATAATTAATTTTATTAATTTCTTGTATATCAAACTTATAATTATTTTTCTCCATATTAGTTATTCACATTCAATTTATATAATTTTTTTGATCATATATGCCAATTATTAAAAGACGAAAGGAGTACATTTTAAACAATATACTATTATTTTTTTTTTTAACGATTTATATAGTAGTAACACATTATAATTTTTTTTTAAACAATTATAGTAGTGCAGGGTAAGACCATTGTCTGACAGAATATGGACTGAACTGTTAGTGGTACTCTAGAATATGTACTAGTGTACTACTAATACGGAGTTGAATTCAGCATGGCAATATTATATGTGGATGCCGATTATGAAAGTAACCAATCATGGACTCGTCAAGCCGCAAACACTATACACTACATGTAACTATCTAATAATATACCAGTATTACTAGTGTTGCTGGGAGGAATTACGTGTTCTCTTAAAGATGGTTGTACAGTTGTACACTTGTACTCATGCTTCATGTTGAGTCAATAATCAAGGAATAACATTTGCGGAAGATCATAAATTAATGGTCAGTATAAGCAAGCTCGACCTAGCTCGACCCATGATACCCATACACCACAAGCTAGTGCTCGACATAGCTGGCTCACCCTACGCGTGGTTGGTTTACTGTAAAGTGAGTAGAAATTCAAATTCAAGTGAAATTATTGGTCAGTATAAGCAAGCTCGACCCATGATACCCATACACCACAAGCTCAACCTAGCTGGCTCACCCTACGTGTGGTTGGTTTGTTGTAAAGCGAGCAGAAAATCAAATTCAAGTGAATAATAGCAACAGAAATACAACTCCCCAGCTTTGTAAATATGATTATTGATTGTTATTGTATCTCGATTACTAATAGGTTTATTTTTTAATTTATTTATCAATCAAAAACACTTTTAGAGCCCTCTAATATTATTGATGGGGATTGCCATGGCAAATTATTTAACTTATAATCTTGGATAATACGGGTAAACATTAGTTTTTTTGTACTCAGTAATACCAATTACAAATTTCTTAGATGTTGAGGTAAAAGGAACAAGTAAAGAATCCGGAATCAATCATCATTTGTTCAACTAGGAAAAAAAATTAAGACCCCAAAACAAAACTCTTAACCAGAACATTAAAAGAGGCAGGGTCACCAATTGAGGAAAACAAGAGAAAAATGCCGGGGGCAAACCCAAAGAGTTGATGTGTGATACTCGTAGATGCCTGACGGAAGGAATTCTGATAGTCCTATACTAGCTTAATCATCTTGTAGCCTTGTGTGTTCAGAGCCTCATAATCACTTAAATTGACCTACATTAGAGTAGAAACTTGTGCATCTAGCCATCTGCTCTATGCAGACACTGTAGCTGGCTGCTTACTCTCTCCCTCTTGTAGACTTGCGTAATAATTGACCAATACCTTCCATCCTCCGGGACACATAAAGCCATCAGGAGGGTTCTCTCCAGTTCTTGCAAAAGAACGCATCTGCAACACATTGAAAGAAGTGATGAGCATGATATGTTTCATTGAAATTAATTCTTAGATTTGGTAAGGATAATTTGTTCCTTAGCACTTGGGTGGTGGACTATTTATCTTTTGAAGGCTTAGAACCCTTGTAAAAATAAAACGATACTATATCTAGTTATATGGGTTTAGCGCATTACTACACTCCAATCTATATGGTCGCAACCCACTTCTACAAGTCCACTGCCACTATTGAAATCTATTGCACTGAATCAGATGAAACTCCTAGCATTCCAGACCGTGTAAATCTGGAGTCTCTTTAATGTCATTACCATTAGCTAAAATCAAGCATAAGATGTAATGCATTACATGAGTCATTACCACAGTTCTGGACAAAGAAACTCCTTGAATCATACTGATTAAAGTATTTACGCACCAAAAAGACGTCGGACACATTTACCTTGGTTCCAGAAATGAAGAGGAAATCTTTAGCACGAGAAGGATCAAAGAAAGACATTTTCTTTGCCATAGTATCATATGCTGCAACCTGCAAGACAATGTATGGTTCAGTACAGAAGCAACAGTTGAAATTTTTAACAGAAAAGCTGCAGGCCTGGGAAAGAATAGATATTTTTAAAAAATAACATGTCCACGTGTCACAAACTGGATAAAACACAAGAATTAAAGAATATATGACATAATTCAAAACTGGACCAACAAAAAACAGAAGATATGGGCCTGTAAGACAATAAAAACAGTGATTGGCACGCCCAGGTGTCATCGAATCAGGTAAAAACTTCAAAGCCCAAAAGGCCAATTCTCTTATTTAGTCAAGCCAACAACAGACATGACATTTATTCATGTTTTTTGTTGCAAAGGAACAACTATGAAGCATATCCTTGAGATTACCAACACAATTCCAAAAAGGTGGATGATACCCAAGGTAGATAAACAATCTTGTAGGGCATTGTTGTTCAAGACATATGTTCCATTTCACATTATTTATCAGAACTTAAATCAAGCATGCAAGCACACTTCAGAACCCATCAAAACAAATTAAAGACCACAAATTATTTTAGAAGAAAAGAAAGAAGCAAGTTATGACCCACCCTAAATGGTAGAATGTTCAACTTCTCCAGCCCAGGTGCCATGCTCAAAACTTTCTTTCCATGGTCAGGATCATAGAGATCTCTTTTCTCTGTCGGATGACCCATACCGGCAGGATCACGACCAACAATGTAAAAATTAGCACCAGCATTAATTCGTGCTTTGGCATGCCACTGTACTTCAGTTGGACCAGCATAATGCATGGGAGATGGGAATATGGCCACAACAGTAGTCTCTGGATCAAGAACTCCATCTTCTAGAACCTAATAAAATTGAATGATAGTGAGCTAAACCTGAAAATATTAGAATAGCAGGAAATCACCAGCCAACGGATTTCACAACATATATCCACTGCACAAACTTAGTCTGAATTACTCACTAATATAATATAGTCGAGCCTTGCATGCAAATATTTGTTCATTGCATGACACACAGAAAACATCAGATCAATATGCCCTTAAAGAAAAATGGAATCGATAGTTTTCATACTAATCCACAGGGGAAAGGATGAGGAAGAGAAAATCCAAGCATAATGAGTAACAGTGCACAGTAAGACACAATTGACGCTAATCTATTCTACTGAGCAAAATAGATCAACAGATTACCTTGCTATGTTGCTCCATCCGAACATCCAAGGGCACATCATCAGCCTTAGTGAAACCTCCCAAAGGATGTAGCAAGAGAATTGGATTCTTATAGCCCATGTCCAGTAACCTCTGACGTGTATCATTCATCAACAAAGCATGTCCATTATGAACTGGATTTCTAAGCTGGAAAGCAAAAACTGCATCAGCTTCACGCCTGTCAAACTCCTTTCGAAGCTCTTTAGGAGAAATCCTGTATTGATCGAGACCATCATTATATTTGATTTCTTTCAATACTTCCAATTCTCCTCCTATGAGCCAATTTCCAGCAGGTGTAATAACCTCCTCAACATAAGGCAATCCAGGAGCAGTAGTTCCCCAAGTTCTAGCTATTCTTTCCTCTTTATTATGCTTGTATATCTCAATGCTGCATAACAAAGCAAAGTTTAATATCTGAGAAATAAAAAAAGTTTATAAACCAGAATATTGAAGGCAATCAATCAATAATTCATGATGGGGGAAAAGGTTTGGATTTTGAAAAAATATGATGCCTGATGCAACATACATATGTGCTGGTTAGTATGACCAACAATTAGATCTTGCTTGAGAAAGGATGTGATTATGACAACTCTATCAGCTCTAAATTGTTGAAATACTTCAATTTTTTTTTAAAGAGTGTCTTCTTCTTTTAAACATTTTTTCGCTCTGAAACAAGAACAAAAAAGTATTTTCCCATGTAAAGTAAAATAAAACAGAAACCAACCACATAGATAATCTCAGTGGACAAAATACTTATAGGAAGCAATAAATATTCCTCCTTTAGAAAATTATTTCAATTGAGAGAGAATTTACAAAGAAAAGAGGACATCAAATTAAGAAAAACTGGATTGCAGCCTGTAGACAACTAAAAGATTGCTAATTATGTGCCTGAGCAACGAAAAAAGAAAGTTTAGGACTAACATGTGTTTGATAGAAAGCCACTAATTTATGCAACGAAATTTGAGACCAAAGTCATAAAGAGGCCTTGTTTGGCTATGAGATAGCTGTTAGCAGTTCATTGATTCAGACCAGATAATCATATTACTTTTTAAAAAGGAAAAATTAGAAATGATACTCTCAACTTTCATTAATTTTGCTTGAATAATCCCAACTTTGGATAATTCTAGAATATTCCGAATTTTAGGGGTTCCTATTTTTCTTCAATCCCAAAAACTGGTGACCGGTTGGATAGGTTACTTCTATTTATTTTTTTAAATAAGTGACACGTGCTACATGTTAATTGGTTAAGAAAATTAAAAACAAACAAACAAAAAAAACAACGGTCCCAGCAAAACCCTTGACGGAGTTGACGCAAATAATCTGCCAATGTTACCCCTCCTCTCACCGGCCAATTGCCCCAGCCACGCACGAAACCCCTTTTCATTTTCTCTATCCTCTCAATTGCAGCCGCTAAATCCGGCCACTTGTGCGTCGCCGCTCGTGAAACTCCCTTGAAACCCCTCCCCTACTCCCAAAAACACCTAACCCATCCCTGAAAACTTCGTTTTCGTTGGTGGGTTTTTGGGGTTTTAAATGGTGGATGCGATTTTGGGGTTTCGTGGATACGAATTTGGGGTTAGGGTGGTTGCATGGGGTTCCGGTGATTTCACTGGTTGCGTGGGGTTTCGAGGAGGGGGGGAAACGGCGACTCAAGGATCTTTTGTTCTTATTACAGAGGCTTCTTTTAAAATGGATCCGAAGTATCCATGTCCATGTGGAGCAAGTGATCTTAATATCAAAACCACAAAAAAACCGGGGGTGAACCACAATAGGAAGTTTCTAACATGTCCTTCTGTAAGTTGTCATCTGATTTCATTACTTAATTTTTTATTTCATCTGATTCCTTCAATTCATTTTTGATTTCATCTGATTCTTTCAATTCAATTATTTGCTAAGTGTTGGGTCATTCCTGGTGAGGATTTTCCATAAAAAAACAGAATCAAATCATGTGTTTTTATCCAAGCATTTTCCAATTTATGCTTACTACACTTATTTTTTGTTGCACTTATTTTTTCAGGGTTGTGGTTTCTATTCTTTTCTAGATGAACTAAGATTGTGCAAGTGTCGTAAGGGATTCTGCCGCAACACCTTCAGGAAAAATGTGAAACATTGGTGCTGTTCGTTTAAGGTGTGTATAAATGTATAATACACTAATATGTGTTCTTGTAATCATCAATCATGTCTTCGTAATCATCTCTGATTATGTGTTTTCGCGGTTCTTGTGGGTATTTTTCAGAACTAGTGCCCCTACTCCCTGAGCCTGAGCCTCAGCCAGATGAATGATGGTAAACAATTTATGAACCTCAGAAGTATGGTAAACAATTTATGAACCTCAGAAGTATTTATGAGCCTCAGCCAGATGAACCTCAGAAGTATTTTTCAGAAGTAGTACCCCTACTCCAGATCCACTAAAGAAAAGCGCAGGGAAGCACTTTTGAGGTCTTTAAAAGCAACAAGAGCAGTAAACAATGCCTTGATTGACATTATTGAAGATCTTGCTAACCTTCCGCTGAATGATGGTAAACAATTTATGAACTAATGGTTGGAACAATTTATGAATATTGATTTAATTTTGTGGTTGCTGGGGTTTTGATTAAATTTATTTATCTAATTTCAATATTTCCTGTTTTTTTGGCTTTATCTGTTTTTTTTTTTTTTTTTTTTTTGGCTCCCAGATTTCTAATGCTCATTGAGTTCAGTAGGCTGGCATGGTGGAGGTAAGTACTACTCTCTTAGATTAGGAGTACCATGATAGTGAAACTAGATAAAAGATACACGTAGATTTAAATCATCCTTCATAATCTAAAGAACAGTCATTGCTAAAATTTATCTAACAAATGATTTCTTAATCGTCTTAATTTTCGTTTTAATTCAAGTGTTAAATTATTGCAAAGTTTTCTGAGTTCCTTTAATGCTTTAGTACCATCTCTTTCATGCTTAGATTTATTGAATATTGAACCCTAATTGTTGTATTTGAATAATTTTCTTGTTTTTCTTTCTTTCTTTGAAGATCATAGTGGTGGTGGTTGCCGGTGATGAGGGTTGCTGATTATGGATAGGGAATGATTTTAATTTATGGATTTGTTTCTGTATTTGTAGTCATAGGATTTGATTATGGATATGAATTGGAATCTAATGTCTAGGATTAAATGTCATGAATTTAATGGGCTTGGCTAATTGAGCTTCATTTTGGATCGGATTCCAATTACTCCGTACTCGTATATCCAACAAAACCTATCTCAAATCCAACAAGACCAAACCAATCAAGAATATATGTGCAAATACCAAACTTCAATTAAAGAATTGAATGCATTCAACCAACGAATCAATTCTGAAAGGGAAATTAATGCTTCAGTCTACAACACACTTTTCTTTTTTTTTGGTGTGACAAGTCACTACTCCTCTACTCCTCGTTTTACTCTACTCCTCTTATCCCTTGCACATCTATAATCTACTCGTATATCTATAATGTAGACAAAAAAAAAAATTCTATATCTATAATCAATCAATGAATCAATATACTCTACTAAAGTGCTACAGGATGAATATGGACAAACATCACATAAGTTGGTCAAGGAATATTTGACTCCTTATTTTCTTAACAAATACACATACTCCTAATACATTATATAAGTTGGGCCATAACTTTCCTTATATCACAAAATACTACTCCCTCCGTTCCCCAATTTTTGCACCAAAACACTGTGTGGCAGTGTTCATTTGACCACTTTGACTCTCTCTAGTGTTTTACATAAAAGGAAAAATATAATCATATGAGATCTCGTTTGATTCGTCTCAAAGTAAACTTTTTTTATATATAATTTTTATAATATATTATTACACATATTTAAAGATTTTTTTATTTAAAGTTGTATCTCGGGTGATGTGAAAAAGTAATTGGTGCAAATAATAGGGGGACGGAGGGAGTATAAAGCAATGAAGGAAAGTTATATCAATCATAAGAAAAAGTAATTTGGAAATTTCTTGGTACTCCGCATGTTTTTATAAATATAATAAAAACTCTGTAACAACAAATCAACTTCTGCAATTGATTTAGCATGTATTTTAAGAAAACAACTTAAGGGTGTAAAAAATAATTTAATTAGAATGGTTTAATATAAATAAGAATGTAATTATAATTTTCTAATTTTAAAAAAGTCTTTATTAATTTTTTTATTCGATTAATCAAACAACCCTTCAACTTTGCACCAAGGGGATAGTAGTAATATTATTGATAGGCTTGGAAATCAACAGAGGATTTCTTGAATTTGTTCCTTGACTTATGGATTAAATCCAAAGAGGTTGCAATTTTTGTGTTACGGTGGCAACTGGCAAGTGGAAGACATACACCCCGTAAGGGCGAATGAGGGATCACGTCGGACAACGGTCAAAAAGACTTGTTTTTTTTACCTTCGTTCACTCCTAATTTGTCAAAAGACAACTTAAAAAAATAATTCACAACTATCAAATTGTAAAACCAAAATTTAAAAGTGAAATGTTTTGTAGCAACTTAAAGCAAATTAGGCTCGAGTGACCTATGCGTCCTTAAAATAACCTGTCCTAGTTGATCGCGAAAAAAACAGGAAATATTGAAATTATTGAAATTAGAGCATACTTGTCCTTAAAAAAAAAAAACATTAGTTCTGCATATATGTCTGCGTAAATTCATATGAAAAGAAGCCCATGGCAGCAACATGAAGGAAAAAGGAAAGTGGCAAAGATGAAGAACAAGAGGGGCATATCCAAAACTCTGAGAGAGAGAGAGAGAGAGAGAGAGAGAGAAAGAGAGAGAGAGAGGGGGAGAGAGAGAGAGAGGGAGATGGGGTTAGCTACCATGATATGGTGTGTTTTGCAAACATACGTTGTTAGGTGTTGGCTAGTTCAGCTGGCGCTTTCCATTAAGTAAAAATCCATTTAAATATTTGAGTTGGTTATATTAATCAAGTGCAACATTAGGAATTGCAAAGATGTTTAGTAATGTTGGTAGCTAGTATTTAGTTGTAAGTAAAAAAAATTGATGAAAAAAAATAAAAAACATATTTCGGGAAAAATAGCTGAAAAGGTTCTCCCAAATTTTCCATTTTCACTTGAATGTCTTCTATTTTGTGAACAGAAGAGTCAATCATCATCATTTTTTTTTGTTTGTTGACCACATTAACAAGCTAAAAGCAACGGCCAAAATATGTGGGTAATAGTCATGAAACAAACAAGCCATTTTGTCTTGGCCTAAACCACCTAGAAGAAGATTATGAGAAGACGATCTAAACGGATTATCCAAAGAAGTGAAGGACAATGAATGCTAATTCATGATCCAAATCTATAGCAGGATTAAAAGTCTTTTCATAAAATATTAGACCTTTGAGGCTTTAATAAACCACAACTATCATCCTCGAAAAGATTTAATTACAGTCATGAACCGTCACTTTCCAATATAGGTCATCTTAGATTATAAAATTCGGGTTAACAAACTCTTGTCTCTAGGGGGCAAAAAAGACTCCTTGATTATAACATCATAAAAATCCTCCCACTCACTCCCAAATACTATGACATATAGATGCTTGTAAGCACCATAATCCGCACTTACGACGCATCACATTCCACACCTGCCTTTCGTTTCAATAATTAAAAAATGTAATCATACCAATTATAGTAATATACAGTTTTACCACTATTAGGCATCACCAAAAGGAAGGTCTTCAGACTTCAGCACATTTTCAAATCAGACAGAATATTGTCATTTTGTCAGCATACAAACATCACTTTACCCTTATTTTATTCCTATCAAATAAAAGAGCACACAATATTCATATTAATTAACGGAAAAAACGATTTAAACATCAAATTTTTAAATATGACATACATTTAAACCCTTCATCTTGTCATCCATTGTCATATCAAAACTATTCAAATGTACAACTATCAATTCATAAAAGAACGATAAAACAGAGAAATATTGAGCAACAAAATTGATGATAAGCACTAATATAAAGAACAAGAACAAGAACCGAACCTTCGCAAAATAGCAACTAAATCACCATTAGGGGCAACCAAAGCAACATTTGGAGAAGAACCAATATCATCTTTAGCTTTATCATCAATAGCCAAAACAATGGGCAAACTCATATTAACAAAAGACCCATCTGCCAATCTCAAAGAATTGAAATGTAAACTCTGCAAATATTCATTTTCCCTCATAAACCCTTTAAGGGGACTAGCCCAACCTTCACTAAGAACATGAACCCATTCTAAATCAATCTTTGTTAACCTAATTTTAGGCAATGATTCAGCCTCAGAAACCCTCAAATTTCTCTCATTTTCAGGCACAACAAGATCAATCAAAGAACCACCATCTGGGTCAATTAAAGAACTTTTGATTACCCTTTTGGATTGGGAAGAAATTGACGACATTTTGGTATGATTTAGGACAATGGGTCTTAATGGGTTTGTTTGGTAGATATATTTGGGGAGAATTTTGGTGGGGTTTTGATGAATTTTGGGTTGAGCTAAGAAATTTGGGTGATTAGAAATGTGTAATTTAATAGTTAAAGACATGATTTTTCTATTTTTCTGTGCCAAAATTCAAGCAAAAGTTTGGTAAAATTTGGAGACAAAGGAGAGTGAAGTGGTAGGGATTTGCCAAAATGAGGGAACGTTATAAAGCGTAGATTCGGGAAAAGGGTGAACATTTTATGTGGCTAATATGGGAATAATATAGTGGATTGCTAAATATCGCCCGCAAATCTCCATATAAAGCCCACAAATCTATATTGAATTTACCTTATTGCCCTAAACCTAAAATAAAAAAATCTAACCATACCCACACTCTAATCACCCGAAAATACGGCAATGTTGAGGCGCCAAGGCAAGGACTTGGCGGCCACAGCGGCGGAGGGAAGGACGGCTCACGGTGGCAGGGTTTTTTTTTTAAAAAAAAAAATTTAAAAAAACCAGAAGAGGTGGGGCGCCTGTCCAGGACGCCCAGCCCCTGGTGGTGGCGTCTGCTCCGGCCGCCGGAACCAGGGGGCTGGCGTCTGACCTGGACGCCTAGCCACGGTTGTGGCGTTTTCCAGAGGCGCCACCGCCGTGGCTGGGCATCCACGTCAGACGCCAGCCCCCTGGTCCCGGCGGCCGGAGCAGACGCCACCACCAGGGGCTGGGCGTCCTGGCCAGGCGCCCTACCACTTTTTTTTTTTTTTTTTTGTCTAATATTTTTTTTTTTGGAAAATCAGAATTCTTTTGTTAATGTTTAATATTTTTGTTTTATGTGTTAATGTTTTTATTTCTAATGTATATATTGTTTTTTAAATCAGAATTTTTTGTGTTAATGTTTAATTAAAAAAAACAAAAACTTTAAATAAAATTTAAAAAAAATTACAAAAAGTTTAAATAAAATTACAAAAAAAAAAAAAAAAAAAAATTACAAAAAGTAGGGATGGCGTCTGGCCAGGACGCCACAGCCATGGTGGCGGCGTCCTGACCAGACGCCACCCCTACTTTTCGTAATCTTTCCCCCGGATTATCTCGCTTTCCGGCGACGATGACGGCTCTTCGGTGTCCCTCGGCGATCCACTCCAGCTCCACATTCTTCGTGAGAGTGAATTACGGTTTCGGTAAAAATTAGAAAAAGGGCAAAAGAGTCAAAGTAAAAATATTTGTGGGCTTTATGTGGAGATTTGCGGGCGACGTTTAACAAATCCCATAAATATAACGGGGAATGTTATAAAGCATAGATTCGAGAAATAGGGTGGACATTTTATGTGGCTCATAAGGGAATATACTTGTTTATAGTTGGTACCAACTAGGCAACTATATGTGGATTGCTAAATACCGCCAACGTTTTTAATCAAACTGTCAACAAAAAGTGTTGAAGGGACAAAATTACCCTTAATCATCCCCACTTTGCTTTCTTTCTCCTAAGTCCATCAAGCCAAAACTCAACCGTCAACCACGCACTACAAAGGCTACCACCATTGCCACCACCACCCACGCCACCTTGAGCACGACCACCACCATCCACGCTACTAGGACCACGACCACCTACCCACCATCATTGCCCACAACTCCACAAGTCCACAACTACCAAGACTAGAGCTACCATATTTTTGTTTGTGTTGTCGAAATTAAACCACTAGCAACCTTCATTAATCATTTTGTTTGTGTTGTCAAAATTAAACCACCAGCAACCTTCATTAATCATCTATAAAACGACCCACCAGCTTCCTTCGTTTGTAGGAGGGTGGTGGATTTTTTATATTGCAGGCGACCATCACAATCAGCACGCAAAATCGGTGACCCGGGACGGTAATTGGTTTCAAAGGACGGTTGACCATGGCAACCGGCGTCCAAAACCGGTTACCGTCCCTGGTGATCGGTTTTTCACGCTGGTTGACTACGGTAACCGGCGTCCAAAATCGGTTACCATGGTGTTTAATCGGTTTTGCTTGCCGGAGATTATTAAAAAAAATAGATCGGGGACGAACTAATTTGACGACCACTGTGATGCTAGTTCATTACTCCGTTCGTTGCCATCACTACCCTATCAACTCCGATGTACGGCTGCCGCTTCCCTTCACCTCCGACGTAAAGCCATTGTTGTGGTTGATGGCGGTTGAATTGGGTTATGATAGAGAAAAAAATAAAAGAGAAAGAAGAAGATGAGTGGGGGATATAGTAAGGGCATAAGTGTCCATTCACCTTAAATGTTGGCGATTTTGATAAAAAATATTGGCGGTATTTAACACCCCCCAACTATATACCATGTCGTCAATACTTCCTCTATCCTATATTAATTGAAATTTTGACGAGAAAAGGTTGTTAATAGTGGGTTATCGATGTTTTTGGATAGAGTCGTTGCGGCCTTGCGAGTCGATTCAAGTTAAAAGATGGACCCTCCTAGACCAATATGGGTCGCAGTCTAATAGAAGAAAAAGAGTGGTATACGGTGGTGTACAAGATCAAGTTTCCTTTTATACCATGTTCTCAATAAGGAAAAAATATGCAAAGCTTAAAACTTAAGTATTTTTTTTTTTTGAAAGAAAAACTTAAGTATTTTAATTATATTGTAAGTTTATCTTAAAATGTTTAATTAAAAAAAATGGATCCATTTATATTTTTTTATTTTTTTTTTTTTGTCAGGAAAAAAAAAAATTGGATCCATTTATATCTTAAATTCTTAATTGCACACAACTTTCATAATATTAAGAGCGAACCTACCAAATGCTCTTGGCTTCAAATGGCACCACACATTCAGTTGTCATTGTTATGCTTTTTAGCAAATAAGAACCATATGCTACTTTATAAAGTGGTGCTACTATTTTTTTGACCATAAAATCATTGTTGGCGGCTTGTAATAGTATATATGGTATTGCATCACCGCATAGGTAGGCTGTTTATGCATTGCTCCTTTGAGGACTTACATGTGACATGTACTTTCTCCGTTTTAGGTACTTTATACATACCATTTTAATACGCGCAACAAACTAGGTAAGTGGGTAAATTAATTGACATTATTACATTACCACCAATAAGAAGAAAGAAATAAGTTGTTACAAATTCTTAAATGGACCTGGTTCACACTAATTTATTGTGGACCACTAACATCAGGAAAACTATGGTTATTTTATTAGTTAAAAAAAAGAGTCACTATAATACTTAAAAAGGTCTCTATGTTGAAATAAAAGTCATTTTGGTAATATATAGGCTATAAGAGGTTAATATTTTAATAAAATATTTTATATACCGGTTAATTAATATGAATAATAAAAGTCACTATGTTAAAATTAGGGTCATAACGTTATACTTTAAGTTCACAATAATATTAAACGTTATACTAGTTTTAATAAAGGTTACTATGTTAAAAATAGGGTTACTATGTAAAAATTAAAGG